TGGGAGATGGTACCCTGACCCTCTTGTGGGCTTCTTACACCTTCGTTTTCTCAAGTTATATGGCAGCAGATGTCTCTGTGTTCTAGAATTTTCTGGATAGAGGAATCTAAACATCAAATACTGGGGTCATAAACGACACATGACATGTTTTTAATTAAAATATGGAGCACACAGTCTGCACCAACTGATTTTCAGATTCTTGGATGTTGCCAGGTCATTTCCATATTGGCTCAAGAGAAACAGCAAGAGGAAGAGAAAGCTGTGGGACAGAGTATCATCTAATTTATTCTCGCACAAAAGGGCTTTGTAGCCACAATTAATACTTAATTTGTGCTTTGTCATATTCCAAAATAGGATCTGAGTCAGGAACCCTGGTCCTGGGTCTCTAGGACTCAGAGATGCTATTGTGCATTCTGGAGAGGGGTTGCGTTTCTCTTGCTGTGGGGGAGACTATCTAGGCAGTCCTTGACTGTACCCCATCTAAGCCCTGTTCTGTGAGGTCCATCTTGACTCCCATGGAATTTCTGAGCTTCACCTGTAAGCCCGGTGTGGCCCCAGAAGTCTCTGTTGTCATGGACCATCCCACTTTGTCACACTCTCTGGGAAAGGGGGGGTGCACACAAGGTCCAAGCAGAGTGGACTTTGTAGTTTCGAGAAGAGTCCATGTGAGAGTGTGGGGGCAGGGCATTGAGAGGAGTGTGGGAATAGGCTCGTGGCAGGTGGATATCATCTATAACTCGTTCACACTCCTGGCTTGACAGAGTCCTGAGAGCCGTGGCTTTTGAACTTCTCTTCTAGACTCACTGGAGCAGGAGCAGGGTTGTTTTTTTTTTTTGGGGGGGATCACAGACTCCTAGTGTTTGATGCAAAGCTGTCATTTTCAAAAGTGATATTTTAAGCCATGGGACTCTATCTTCAATGACAACTTTGGCAGGTGCTTTATGTGATAAGGCAAAGGTCTTCAAGTCAGAGCTGGGGACCTCTGGGGCAGACACTTTGCTACAGTCTGTCCTGTATGTCTCTGTCCCTACCCACCAGATGTTAGTGTTATTCTTTCCCCAGTTGTGAGGATCAAACTGTGTGCAGACAGGGTCAACTTTCCCCTGGGAGACAAAAATACCTCCTCTTGAGAATTTTGCTGTTAGCATTATAATGTGGAGATATAAGGTAAGGGAGAGAACCCAAGTTCAGCATTTTGGTCTCTGTCTACCCTCTCCTCCTTGTCCTTGATGGGCACAGGTGATGCTGGGTGGATGAATGGCTGTGGGTCACTGGAGGGGACCTACTTGTCACGCGTGTTACCATCGTCCCACCATCTCTCTGAGTGCTTGCTTCCCTCCAAACCCCACAGCAGCCTTTGTGAGACATCTGTGGGTAGAACCAGTCGGGTTCTTGTCACGAATCCTTTATTTAAGCCCTGACCTTCCTTTAAAGATTCATCCTCGTTGAACTGGAGTACCCAGAAAAAGCGCCAGACGTGAAGAACCCTATGTACTGGCACCAGGTTCTGCCTTCCCTATTTGGCGTTAATGAAACCATGCCAATTGTACCCGCTTACCTCATCCTATTCATTTATTATACTTTGTAGATCCAGCCTTTTCCCACTGAAACTTGTGGCCTTCTAACAGCAGCCAGCAGAGTTACCATAAGTGACCTCCCTTGTTTGGTACCAAGCAGTGAGTCATGAAGACTTGGCAGGCCATGGCCAATGTCATTTGCAAATGGCAAGGCTGTACCTCAGCCGGCATGCTTCTCCTCTGTCCTGCTATTACCCACCATGGTGTTTTCTCTTTTAAAGATCTGTATGTGTATGTGTTGCTGCTGCTGCTGTTGTTGATAGTGGTGTGTGTGTGTGTGTGTGTGTGTGTGTGTGTGTGTGTGTGTGTGTGCGTGCGCCTGTGAAGACAACCAATCAGAGCTAGTGCCCCATTTTCATCTCATATATTTCTAAATATTATATTCAAGTTGTTAGACCCAGTGGCAAGTGTCCTTTTCCTGATGACTCATGAGTGCTTTCCTGAAGTTTTCTTAGAAGTCATGAATGATAGGTTTCCTGTCCTTCTACCCTTCTGCCATAATAGGGCATTAAAACCAATGATGGACCTACTCTTCTTTTTTTTTTTTTAAATCAACTATGGCCAAGAAATGACAAGTTCTAGCAGAAGCATGATGGCATCTGTACTCGAAAACCAAGAAAAGACTTCTCATAAAACCCCTATGGTTAGTGTCTTCCAAGGCCTCCTCTGTATCCAATCCTACAAGGGCTCTTGGGTGGGGTTGTTATTTTTAGTATTGTGTGGTGCTGGGACTGAAGTCAGGGTCTCAGGTAATCCAGGTGAGTACGGAGCTATACTCCCAGTCCCTTAAGAGCTTTTTAACACACTCCTTCAATGTTCACTTCATCGTTAGGAGGCAGACATTTTATCGCCCCCATTTGACAGCTGAGAAAAGGGGGGCAGAGACAGGTGAAGCGGCACGCACAGAGTGTCTTTGGTAGAGTGCTCCTGGGGCTAGGATTAGCGTCCTGGCAGCTTTGCTCTAGGCGGGGGTTGGCAACCTTCTTATCTATAAAGAGGCAGAGAGTAAATCCAGCCCTTGCAGGCCATATGGTCTCTGCAGTGATGGCTCAACTTTATAACATGGAAGTAACTATAGGTGGCAGTGAGCAGAGATGAGCACAGAAATGTAGATTTTTATCTAATTCTTATATGTCACAAAATACGTTTTTCCTTTGATTTTTTTTTAAAAAACAAAATATGAAAATGAACTTTCGTTTTGAAGCTATATGTAAGAAAACACTGGGGCTGAATTTGGCCCCAACCCAGAGTTTATCAATGACTGTTCCAGAGCCCCGACCCCTCACCCCTCTGCAATGTGGCTGCCACACTGCTGCTCCCTGTCTGAGAAGCACTCAGACACCAAAGAGGATGCTGGGGCTGTTATTTAATTTGCCGGTGGACTCCACATTGAAGCTTCACTCCTTTGCTGCTTCTTAGTGTGTGGCAAGTCCGGGAAGGATCCGTTTGTAAGCATAAATCATAAAGACTGGAATGAGTAAAGTCTCAGAATGCAACGACAGTCATCTCTACAATCATCAAAGCACACTTATGGAATGCTAATAGGGGCCAAGAAAGTGATTTCATTTATTTAAACAATTTGATTGATAGCTACTTGTTGGAAGCAGATCCACAGAGGAAGCTGCGCTCCCATGGATGGAGAACATGCTGGATAAACACTGTGATCTACTTGGTATTTGACATGGCTCATGGCCCGGGAACATAGACTGGAGAGGCTTAGTGGCCCAGGTGGTCCTATTCCTCTTGGCTTCCCTTTGCATCTGAAATGTTGTCAGTGTCCCTACCTTGGTGAGACTGGGGCATGAAAACTGCCTTGAAACCATGAGGCTTCCTGAGAGAAGGCATCCGAGTTAGAGGCCAATGCCAACCTGGCCACCTGGTCAATGTCCCCAACAAGTGCCAGTGTCTCTGGCTGCTCCATAGGAGCTCTGGGAGAATGTGTTTCAAAATGGGCTCTTGGCATACCTTGCCACTGTGCGGTTCTGACATGCTGCCAGAAGTCCTGGCAGGCACAGCCCTGTTGCCTTCTTGGCTCCAGTTGGACTGGGCGGCAGATGGCGGAACCACTGGTGTGGTCGGGCAATGGAGGAGCTGTCTGGGGGAAAAGTGGTGGTCACATTTCTGGCAAGAGTTGTGCCTTAGGTAACGGTATTCTTTACTGCAATGGTACTTAGACCTTTTGTCTTTTGCAACCTTTGGGTACTGAAGAGAGAAGCAAGTTCTAGGAGGGCTGGGGTGGATCATTTTTTAGGATCTTCTGCACTCCATGGAAGGTCATTTTTCATACAATATCAGAGTAACAGAAAGGTCTTGGTAGTTAGCAGTGCAATGGTTTTTCACTTGGAAACTCCTAAAGCAGCAGTGAAGAAATGTTGGTCCCTTGTCAGTGCCGAGGAACTAACAAAAACTAGATCGGTACTCATGACAAGCGCCTTACATCATAGCAATAGCCTTGAGTTTCCTAACTTTGAGCTGGAGTTGATGTACTGGGTCAGTTAACACTGGTTGTGTCTGTTGATAAAGAGCTTCAATTCACAGCAATTTTTTATCTTTGATTGATCTTAGGTTACAAATTACTTATTACTTAATAAATGTAGTTTTGCTGGGCACATCCCTCTTTAAAATCAAGATCTCTCTGGAGGGAAAGCTCTAGAAAGGGTCCTCGTGGTAGAGGGAGGAGGAACCGCTGTGATAGGGTCTGTCTCCTTCACAAAGAAACAAGAGACTCACATTGGTTAAAGCGCTTGCCTCATCTGCAACAGAGTCTCAGAGGTGAAACTGAGCCTGCTTCCCAGGATTTCCATGTTGCACTCTTCCTAGGCTGCTCTGTGGCACCCCTGAGTCATTAGGGGCCCCAACTCTGGAGTCACTTTTCTGTCATCCCAATTCATTGGTTTCCTTGAGCTCCAAACGGAGTGAACTGTGGGCGTGTAGATGGCGTGGTCTTCTGTGCCCTGGTGGGCACATACGTCATGTATGCCTTTCTCCTCATCTTGTCTGTTCAGAAGCCATGCTCTCAGACAAGCCACCCCTCCCCTCCTAAAACCATGTCATTTATATTGTCTTGCTGTGCAGGCATAAAGAAAATAAAAAAATAAAAATAAAAAGAGTCTACAAAGAGCCTGACCTTAGAAAGTCCTGAAGAGGAACAAGAAGGATGTAAATAGAATCAAAATTTGGGGGGATGGGTTTGAAGTGTCCAGAAGCTGGGAGTGGATGCTGAGCACTCCACCCTCAGGCTACACACTGAGGAGCTGTGAGTCCTTTGCTTCTGTCCGTTCAGAGGGAGAAGCTGAACTCAGAGTTAATTGGTGATTTGTCAGAAGTCATGGCTCACGCTCCAGGCTTCAAGCTCATAGCTGACTATAAAGCTGGCATCCTGCCCCTGGCCGCAGTGTCCTGACCTCTTCTCTCTCCCTGCAGACACATAGAGAACTGGCGAGGCCTGCACACGCTCAACGCTGTGGACATGGAGCTCTACACGGGACTTCAGAAGCTGTGAGTGCACTGGGGTGGCTTGCGGAGCAACAGCTGGGATGCTGCTGGGGGTGCAGCAGCAGGAATGGGAAGTCTTCTGTCTCCGTGCTCCCCCCACTCAGGAATCTTCTTTGGGGACGGTTGACAACACCCATTTAGGGGTTGTCAGGGGTCACCTTAATCTGAATAGGCCTGGGGGTTATCTGAGTGTAGCATTTCAAGGCAACCTTGTCCCCATCTTGCTGGGATTGCGTTTTTCTCCAGTCCTATGCTTGGCACAGGGGGGGGGGCGGGCCCCGCCCGGGGGGCCAATCTCAGTCACAACTGCAGGGAACGTCAGTGCTTTAGGCAGGGAGGACCAGGTGTGAGGAGGAGAAGGCGCACGAGACTGAAATCTCCTCGTCTTTGGAGCACCAGGAGCCCTGATTCTCAACTGCTGCTCAGGATGGGTAGTGACTAGCTGCCATCAGTGATTGCTCATGTCCCAACATCCACCCAGTTCTCCAAAGGAATTGGGCTTGTGTCTCTCACTGAGCCGCTGTTGGCCATCTAGGGTGACTAGCGATGAAGAGAGCCACAGCCCACCCACAGGGCTTGCTTTTCTTCTGGTTGTAACCCCTGGAATTCTGTTGACCTCCTTTTCTCTCTGCTTAGGACCATCAAGAACTCTGGACTCCGGAACATTCAGCCCAGAGCCTTCGCCAAGAATCCCCACTTGCGTTATATGTGAGTAGAACTGGATTTTGGGAGATGGGGGGTGCATGCGTGGAGATCATCTTGGACCGTGAAGCTGGCTTTTTTATTTGTTGACCTTGGCCAAATCCTTTACCTTTCTTAGGTCTCCAGTTTTAACTCCTTAGCATAAGCACGTGGGATTCAGTAATCTCAAAGGTTTTAAGTAAAAGGAATCCAGGACTGAGTGGGAGAGTCTCCTGGCTTGCGAGTTTGTACCTGTTTTATAATGAAATTTTCCGTTTTATGGGAATGTAAATGACAGGGACTTAATATGGAGTTGACTCTTCTGAGAGTATGCATAGGTTGTAGGGGTGTGTTTGTGTTGATGTTGGGGATTACAGGAAGAAGGAAAGCAAGACCAGACCAAGTATGAGAAGAGTCTAGATTCAATACAGAAGAGCTTCGAGAAATAGAAGCATCTACGTAGATCAGAGGTCGTGGTTTGGGATGGGACAGTGGACACATGAGGATAGGTATCTGTGCCTATTTGTGCCTCCCTCACTTTGTGTCCCCTCTTTGCCATGATTGACTAGTGGAATAGATTCTTTAGGCAGTGACTCAGGCTAGACCTTGCAAGAGTGGAATCATCCACATGCATGCTTCTTCTTCAAGTCTAGGTCTGGGTAGGCAGACTATGAGATTTGGAGGGAGGGCAGTTATTTCTTGTACATCAAGGGAACATGAAAGAAAGCCTCCAGTAAGTGGTCAAGGGCAAGACAACTGACACCTCTGCAGGGGTATACCAGTTGTCTCGGTCAGCTCTCTTGCTCAAGAAGAATCGCCTTGTGGATCTTCAGTGCGTATGACCCAAAGAACAGGGAATATGCATGAGCTGGATGGCATTGGGATACACTGTGGAACAGAAGCAGAGGGCCTACTGGCAGATTGACTGGTCTTTATTTGGCCACTGTAGTTGGAAGTCAATTTGCTAGGTAAAGATCTCTTACAAAGAAGCAGAGCTTCTAAGGGATGCTGTAAATAAGTGGCAAGCAGGGGATGTAGAGGTCAGAAGAGATTCTGAACAATTATGGTTGAGGAGTGTTTTTTTTTTTTTACAAAGGTCCCGGCTATACTCTTAGGTTTGTGTGTTTTCCCAAGCACAGGGTGAATAGTTATTTCTTTCTTTCAGTCACTTCTGTTTTGTGTCGAATTTTCTTTCTTCCCTCGGGAAATAGCAAGCTCCCTGGCCATTGTTTGGGGCCATTTGTATTAACAATGGGGGACTGAGACCTCCCTTTTAACTGTCTAGCTCAGCTCTTGCTCCCTTGCTATGGTTTACATCCCATGGCACGATTCTCCTGATGTGTGTGTTCTTCACAGCTATTGGTATAGCACTGCAACCAGAGAAGGGCCTTGGACCAGATGTTCCAGGTGTTTATTTTATTGGGGATTTGAGTTTCACTGTAAAACTTCCCAAGGGAAAGAGCTTTTTGACATCTGAGAGCTCCCCTTTTTCACAACATTCAGAGGTCGTGAAACCACATGTTCATGGTCGATCAGGTGGGGACAGTTGGGGCTGTGGAGCCACATGTCAGTTCCAGCTGACTACTGTTATATGAAGTGCAGCCCAATGTCACCAGACTTATTCAAGATGAGCTGAAGCATCAGCACCCACTCAAAGGGCTCTGTTAGACACGGTGGGCGCTCCAGAGGAGGCTGAAGGTTACAGATCCTCAGGGCAAGGCATACAGTCTGGCACATCCATGGGTTTTATGAGTGAACTCCGGCCATTTATGAAGGCACACCCCAAATCCCTACTGAGTGAATTTCCCGGCAGCTTTGGGACATTTTCTCCTGGCAAATGGTCCAGGTTTCGCTCCTCTCTCACAACATCTTCTATTTCTGTCTTCTAAATGCATTTACAAGTCTTCGGGCCCCAGCTGAGCAATCACAAGGCGATCACTTACTCCAACACTAATTGCCAAGCCCTGGCTTGGCTGCTATTTCTCCCCCCACTATTTTTTTAAAGGGAAATGTCTGAGAAGATGTTTCTTCTCCCCTCTGTACAGAATAAGAAGCAGTAAGTGATATTCTTGCCCAAGTCATCTCAGTCATCTGATGGGGGTAACACAACTGTCCTTCAGCTCTGAAACTGTCCCTGTGATCAGTATAATGACTCTCCGCATCAGAAAATGAGCCTGTGATGTCAAGGTCAAGTTTTGACAGCAAGCATCCCTAGGTCGCCTTAAGGTCTATAAGTGACCGTCTCCTATTGGCTGCTTCAGCTCTCTTCTCTCTTTTGCTGGACGTGCAAAACTGAGATATTCAGAAAGACCTTTCTGGGGGACTGGATTTTTTTTTAACTCTCTTATGCAGATCAGGGAGCCTCAAGCCTAATGACTTTTCAACTTGATAATGGAAACACCGGCTTGCTAATTGAGCAAAAGGGCAGTGCCTCTTCTAGGCAAAGACTACACAGCTAATGTCCTGTGTGACTTGTAGCCTAGCAAGTGGAGTTCGGAAATTATGCTTACTGGTAATGATAATGTGCTCTGCTGTTGCTGATCACAGAACCCAATGGGAGAGACAAGATGTTCTCAGTGACTTCCCTGACCTGTCTTTATCCTGGAGCAGCTGGGTTGCTGTCCCACACATTCCAGTTCCCTCACGCCTGCAGTATACCTGTTTTCAGTATCTGCCGTCTGCTCTCCTTGACTATGGATGCATTAACCTGGATACCTTTCTTTCTTCTGTCTGCTCCATCTCTCTTGCTTTAGACTGTGTATAGAGCTTTCTAGGTGCTGCTAGATACGACCTCAGCAATGGACAAGTCTGTAGCTTCCTTACTTGTAAATATCTCGAGGCCACATCCACTAACATGACTGAATATGGATTATCTCCTGAGTCTTCCGAGACCCACTTCTGTGGCTGGTTCTTTTTCCCCTTTAAGAAAGTTGTGTCTGTAGCGTGGTTCACGTAAGACTGGGTCTCTTTGGGGGGCATTCCTCATAAGTAGAATAATGTAGATGCCGTCTGTGGTCTGTGCCCCAGTGATGGTGTTTCCTTCACCTTAAAACACTGCCTGATTTCTGGGGAACTTGCGCATACACATACTTCATCTCACCAAGTTCCCATAGCCATCTTGGTGGCTGCTGTAGGAAGCTTGATTTCCAAGGCACAGAGAGAGTCTTATTGGTAAGCAGCAGAAGTAGAAACCTGCCTAGGTTCTTACATCCTCTTTCCAGGAATCTTTCTATTATAACTATAAATGAGAAGGCCACCAACAACAAAACAAACCAATCAATCCAACCAACCCTGTGGCTTTGTTGAAGTAGGTAAAAAGCAAAAACAAAAACCAACCAACCAACCAACCAAACAAAAACCCCTAAGAGTTTTACAAATTGCACTAAAACTACAAGTCTCTAGGGGAGAGATTGCTTGGCTAGTAAAGTACTTGCTGCATTTTCTCTCTGGAGTCCATCTAAAAAAATCCAGACATGGTTTTGGAATCTCATCACCGAGGAGGCAGAGCCAGGCTTTCTGGCCCTCCAGTGCAGCTGGATCAGCCACCCCAGGCCCTTGAGAGAGTCCATCTCACAAAAACAACAGAACCGGCTCCCGAGGAATGACATCTGGAGTTGGCTTCTGACCCTCACATGCACACAAGTATATGTACACACAAATACATACTCATGCGCCACACTCATATGCGCACGCATGTTCATGCCCATACAAACACATGCTCATGCACACATGCACACATGCATACAAACATACACTCGTGCACACATACATGTGCACACACAATGCACATGTCTCAAAAAAAGAAGAGAGAATGGCTAATTACTATTCATTAAGAATTTAATATGAGCCAAGAAATGGACCTAGTGCCTTTGCAGAATTGGGCTCACATCACTTGGCCTGGTGTCTCCCTGAGATCTTCTTTGTCCCCATTCTGTGGATGAGCACAGAGTCCTATAAGTCACAATTGATTTCTTCTACGGTCATACCATAAGCTAGTGCAGTAGTCAGGCTGAGGACTCAATCCCTCTGACTCTGAAGTCTGTACAGTTTCTTACATCCCCAAGTGTTTCTTTCCTCTGGTTTTCTTAGCAAGTGCTTCTAATGGGAGGGGGGGAGGATGAGGAACGTGGGGTCTTTAAAGTTTTATTAGAGAGCTGCAATTTCTCCCTGGAGATTTAGCACCATCCAACCTCAAAGAGCTTGGCCGAGAAAGCCGTTTCGTTTCTTTCCCTATTCAGGCCGGATCCTGTACCAACGGTTGTGTTACTAGCTGAATATCTTTATTGTGAACGATTTCTTAGTGTTAGCCTATGGCCTACTTATTTCCAAGAATATTTAACATAAGATTCCAGCAAGCCAAAGGAATTTCTCTAATCCCCTGGAGTTGGTGGTAGTGGGATCTTGCTCATGTTCAGTTGCTGTGATCAGAAATTTGCTGGGTCTGTTCAGCTGGGAACCCCGGCTCCTGGCTGCCGGGCATGAGGGTGGGATAAGGCGGGAATGCCTCCATTTGGACATGACTGTGGCAACGATGTTAGGTTTCCAAGGAGAGAAGGTCAGCAGTGTTTAGGTGGATAGGAATAAAGGAAACGGCTGGAGGTCCCACCCTTTTGGTCACCAGCTGGACAGTATGCAATCCATTTCTCCTGAGGGAACAGACATGAAAACATGGAGAGGCTGATTTATTATGTATTACAAACCACTAGAGGTTGAAATAGCCTGATTTTGGATTCTAGGCTGATAGGCTGATATTTTAATAATAAACGCCATGTCTGCCCCTTGCCTCTGCACTGAGATTTTTTCCCCCTGAGTCTCAGTGGGGTTGGTGACTGACATGCTTGTCCCCTTACTGCCTCCATGCAAGTGGCCTTCCTTCTCTGTCCTATGTGGAGGACTTGGCCTCTGAATACTCCGTATTACTGATGGTCACGGACCAAGGGCTTCGGAGAGTCACACCTGAGATTTTTTTTACTCACTGTTGTTGACCTTAGGGAAGCTAGGGAATTACTGAGAGTTTGGAAGGAAGT